GGCACGGCGGCCGCCCGAGGGTGCCTAGGCGAGCAGACTTTGGCCAGGTGTCTGCCTGGCTCCTCCCGCCGCCTCAACACGCAATGGGCTTCCCCGCAGCGCTTCCCGGCCCCGCCCGCAGGGCTCCTCGGCACACAAAGGGCCCCCGCCCCTCTGTGCCTCCCCCAGCCCCGGAGCTCTGCGGCGTCCGCTCCCTGCGCCGGGCGTTTCCCCCGCTCCTCCTGCCGCCGGCGGGCCGCAGCCGCTGCTAAGGTGGGTCCGCGCCGATCTCTCGTGCCTCCAGGCGCCGCAAGGAGAAAGCCGGGCTCGTAATTGCTGAATGAGCGTGACTCAGGGCTCGCCCAGCCCCTGCCAGGGACACCCCAGCGGCGGGACAGAGGCAGGCTCTGGCAGACTGCGCCGGGGGGGCAGAATTTGGGATCCTTCCTGCGGAGAGAGGCGAGCTGACTTCACGCTGCCCCTGGAGTGATTCTGCATGAGCATTGCAAAGGTAGGAGACCTTCCGCAGGGAGACTGGCGCTGCACCTGCCGATGCGCATATATGCTGCCATGTATTGTGTGAGCTCTGTATGCACAAGCCCCACATCTCTGCAGTGCAATAGATCCGCAGATCTGCTGCAGCAAGTGACCTCCGTAAATCTTAATCCACCTGTGACATTCAAACCTTTGGAGTAATCTGAAAAGTTGGCATTCATAGGCTGCCTTCCTGGTCCGCTGCTGGGGTATCCAGCAGTCAATCTGCATTCCCTGGAAATGGACCTGGCATTTCCTTTCTCAGCTGTGTGGATGAATTTGGTTCTATACACTTTCCCTTTCAAGAACTCCAAGGCTGCTCTGGAGATGGGGTGAGCCCTTTGCAGCAGCCAGCCCGGTTAAATACAGTTACAGAGAAGGGGTAAAACCTGATGCTGACAAACTGTTTTGCTGTGGGCTGGGGTTCAGGAGGATTTGAGTGGTTTGTCACTTGGGCTCCCATCAGAGGGAGGGAAGCTGCAAATGCTGGCTATGGAAATAGGGTGACCAGACTGCAAGTGTGAAAAATCAGGACGGGGGTGGTGTGTAATAGGAGCCTATATAAGAAAAAGACCCAAAAATGGGGACTGTCCCTATAAAATTGGGACATCTGTCACCCTATATGGAAATGATGTGCGTTAACTGTGAAGCGCTGAGCGCAATAATATGATTGTGTTCTGTACTGCCTGGGAGAATAGCCCTGCCTTGTATCTTTGTGCTCTGCATTAACCTGGGCAACACAAGGAGTCTGTCAGCCCTCGTGAAATGGGTACAGGCCTGTGCTGAGTCCCTGCACTGGGACAAGGGTCTTTGCTGCTCCTCAGAAGAGGGGACTGACTGGGGGATCTTGCCTAATGTCATTTGTCCTGCCTACCACTTGCTAATTATTCCAAAGGGCTAGGGCCCTGGTCCTTTGTTGACAATGCTGCAAGTAAAGGGCTTAGGAAAAGCTCAGTGACCAGTGCAAGGCCAGAGACTGATTCCAAAAGACCTTGGAAGCCAGCAGCTCTGGGGGGACTTTGTGGATCCTCTCCCGACAAGTACCATTCCCTTATTATCTTTGTCATACCAAATGCAGGCCTTGATGGGATTGCACACATTTACGCAGCTGAAGATCTGGGCCAATGTATTAATGGAGAACCGTGTTTGGGGAACATGTGTGAGTGTACAGGCGTATGTACGGGCACACACAAACTGTACATAGACATAGACACGCACATTTGCGCTCTCACTCCAACACACACTACACGTACACACACACAAGTAGGAACAGAAGACAGTATCTGGTGTATATGGGGATGGGGTGAGTGGCCTGTATTCTCTGTGATGCAGTGGCCTGATGCGAGCAATGGACTCTCCCATGCTAAATTCAGTTCCAGCGTTTCACCTTCTTCTAGACTCTGGGCTTTCTCCTTTTTCTGAATTAATCTCCCAGAGACAAGCGCTGTCTGCTCTCTGCTCCTCCAGGGAGGTGAATGGTGCACCTGAGTGAGGAGGTGGATAGCCACTCTTCACTTCTCTGCTGTGACTCCGGCAGCAGGCCCTTACCACGTAGGGGCTGGGTACAATATTTCTGCACAGAAAAGTCCCTGTTCCAATAGTGTAGCTGGCCCTGTACCCGGAGGCTGCTGCTTCTGGACCCTACCTTGCTTTTAGTTGGTCATCTGGGTGGGACTCCAGTATCCGGTTCTCTAGGATCTTTAGGTGGGTCTCTCAGGAAGCGGAGCCATGAGCTGCAGACACCAGTTCGAGCTGGTGGGTGGGCCGTTATCTGTTCATGGTGACAGGGCAGCCGTTACAGCTCTCCATTCGGATTCCTGGCCTAGGTTTATTATAATGTCCTTTGCACTCTTCTGGTCACCGTGGACAGATAACGGCCCACCCACCAGCTTTGAACTGGTGTCTACAGCTCATGGCTCTTGAGGCCGTGTGGGATCGGGGATGCAGAGTGTGGGTGGGGGGTCTGCTATCTGGTCAGTTCCCCAGGTGATGTTTGCTCCTGGAAGACTCTAGACATCTGTGGGACGCTCTCAGCACTGGTGTCAGTGGGGATGTGTGCAGGGGAAGCAGGATTGTGTAGTAAGAATGAAGCAGCTCCTTCCTGTGCCTGCAAACCGCTGAGGCAGGTGTGTCGCTCTGTCCGTTTTACCATGTGATACTCTTTTGGGAGTCTTCCTCCGGTTAATTCCAAGTAATTTTGTATTGTAGCCATTACAGGCCCAAATCCAGTTACATCGCTGTGACCCCATTGACTTCACTGGAGCTGCAGGAGCCTAACTGTGGGCAGAATACGGCCCATGGATTTCATAGCAGACGTACAAAGGGCTCCCTGCTGCAGATGCATTTGTAACATAAGGCAGAGTCCCTGCTCTGTCAGCCAAAGGCAATAACTACTGTGAAAACCCTCAGGAAAAGTGCAAATGGCCTAACAAAGTAGTTCTGACCAGCACTGTGCAGCCTGTGTCTTGCTCCATTCTCCACCTCCATCACACATGGTGCTGGAGACCCTCCATCACCCCCAGCGTGCCTTTCCATTGATGAGCAGCAGTGGCACTCACAGCTTTGGGCTGTTGTATCTTTGTGCTGTCTCCATTGCACTGAAGTTAATGGGAGTTTTGCAACTGACTTCAGTGGAGCCAGGTTTTCATCCATAATTTAAAAAAATCCCTAAGGAAATCAGACCTGCTGCTATGCTCACATTACAGTCACAAGGGCCTAATCTCCCCCCTCCTTGCCCAACCCTCCAGGAAAGACAAACTCTACTGGCTGACTCAAAGGCTCTTTCAAATGCACTGGGATATTCTGAATTCAGAGCATTGCAGCTTTTTGTGGGCCTGGGCTAGGTCCAGCCCAGTCTATGGGAGCTCTCGCATCAGCACCCTTGAGGCTGTATGTGGTGCACACGTGTGCCACTGACTTGCGAATCATGTGGAGCAGTGGTTCTCAGCCAGGGGCACACACATCCCTAGGGGAACGCAGAGGTCTTCTGGGGGTACATCAACTTGTTACCTAGTTTACAACAGGCTACATAAAAAGCACTACCAAAGTCAGTACAAACTAACATTTCATACAGACAAATGACTTGTTTATATTGCTCTATGTACTATATTGAAATGCAAGTACAATATTTTATATTCAAATTGATTTATTTTATAATTATACGGTCAAAATGAGAAAGTCAGCCATTTTTCAGTACTAGTGTGCTGTGACACTTTTGGATTTTTGTAAGCCAGTAGTTTTTAAGTGAGGTGAAACTTGGGGGTACACAAGGCAAATCCGACTCCTGACGGGTGTAGTGGTTTGGAAAGGTTGAGAGCCGCTTCTCTGGAGTATAAGGAGGATTGCTGTTCTCCAGGCCACTCTGTGTAGCACAGAGCTCGATCCGCTGCACACTCGGCCAGCACGATGCCCTCCCCTCCCCTCCGCCAGGGCCACGGTCCAGTCCATGGAACACAGGCACATGGCTGTCACGGAGTGTGGGGGGACTGCACCCCCGGCTTCCTGCGATTCACCATGACTCTCAGCCAGCCAGTAAAGCGGAAGGTTTATTTAGACGACAGGAACGCAGTCCAAGACAGGTCTTGCAGGCACAGACAACAGGATCCCCCCCAGTTAGGTCCATCTTGGGGTCCCAGGGCACCACAGCCCCCTTGGGAGGTCAGAG